GGAAGTGAGACAGGTATACGGCAATCCTACAGTCTACACTTACCTCTATATCCCTGTGAGGAATTGTTCTGCTCTCCCCGCAGATGCCTGAAACTAGGGATAATGCTCAACTCAATAGATTACACTTTTTCCTATGCATAATACTTCTGACAAAATGTAACTTATAAATGAAGCATACTAAAGGATTAACAATAGCTAATAATAAAGTATAACAATTACAATAGCATACCATAATAAAATTTTATGGATGTACTCTGTCATCTATCTATCATCTATCTGTCTGTAGTTAATGTACTCTTCTTCTTTGGATAATGATGCTTGCTAGTATGTAGTGAACGTAATGAAGTAAATGACTTAACAACAGTGTTAGGCTGCTGTTGATCTCCTAACTATGTGTTAGAAGGAGAATTATCAAGGTACAGCAAAGACTTTGACCACCGATAACTAAACCCACAGAAGGGGCAGCAACAGAAAAGTTGGGCTACCCATATAAGAAATAGATGTCTCTAATATTCCTCTTGTCTCAATGGCATGTTAAAATCACAGAGATCTAGTTCAGTGGGTTTCAACCAGATCCAGGAGGTCCCAGAGAATGTCCTGAGAAATGAGGGCAGAGCTTAGAAGCCAAAATGATGTTCTTTAGTTTCTGGCTTCTTCCCTTGGAACATCCAAGGTGAGTTTCTCTTCTACCTCCATTGTACTTTGGAATTCTGGGTAGAGTTTTCATCCAAGGGGAAAGAGTACCACTTCTTAAAACATAAAAATGTGACAAGTACAAACCTAATACAATCCACACATTGAATTAAACATATAAAGGTGAAACCTAAGAAGGCCCCACTCAATTAAGGAATAAGTTTATCCCCCTTTTGCCAATGTCAAGTGCCCCCACACACACACACATGCACTCATGTATGCATGCACACACAATACCTTTGACAGTTACCTCACTACTCCAGAGTAAGTATCCCTGTTCATGCTTTCTATCCCTTCAATTAACTTGGGGTCTATTTGCTTTTCACCTGTGGTCACAGGAGTCTGGCTGTTGAAGCAAACCCATAGAATTCTGATTATTTAAAAGTCTTCACCATAAGGGGCTGCAGAGATGGCTCAATGGTTAAAAGGACTTTCTGCTCTTACAGAGAGGACTCAGTTTTGGTTCCCAGCACTTACATGGTGACTCACAACCATCTGTAACTCCAGGAGAATTCCAGGAAGTTCAATGCCCTCTTCTGGACCCCATGCATATATGTGGTGCTAATATATGTATACATCTTAAAAAAAAAAAAGCAAAATTCTCACTAAATTCAGGCACTATCGTTTTTCTTTAAAACAATTCCAATTAAATTTCCTAGATGGCAGACTAGATTTGTAAGGGTTCTTTTTTCTCCCCCTTCTTTATGCTTTCTAAACATCAAATATTGCCAAGGAGCTTGGTTTTAATTCAGGCTATCTAGGAGGGCCTAAGTGAATGGATAGGAAATTCTTTTATCTTGGGGGAGGGGTCAAGAAACCCATAGGCAAGATCAACATAACTATACTGAGACAAACAGGGCCGTAGAAATTTAGAAAAATATATATTTGGCATATTACTTTTCAAATGAATGCATGTTAAGTATTCACTCTGAGGGAAAAATCTAAAGCCTGTGGCTGAAAGAGTTAGCTCCTACTTCCCTAGAGGTTATGTGTACAGGCATCCCATTGTGACCTTTAACCCACTGTCCTCTGACCCAGCTCACCCTTCAAGCTTCCCTCCCAGATGGATTTGGCTGTTTCTCTTAGGGAACTAAGTTTGCCCCAGGTGGAAGGTGTGCACAAAATAGTTGCAGAATGAGGCTCCAGGTCAGCTCACCAAACAGGCTCAGTGGCTTCCGTAGTGCCTGGTTCCTCTTTCTGGTGTGATACTGGCCTTAAGGAGTTTGCCCTTGAGTTCAAGTTTCTCTCTCCTTGTGGTCTGATGCCTCTGAAACAAGACAGAAAGAATGATGGAGTTCTTTCAGAGTAGAATGAAGGCCTATAAAGTAATGGATGATCTAACTCTTCACAAGAAATTCTAGCTAATTCTGACTGGGGCAAGCTCGTACTTTTAAGACTTGCAAACCCACCCCCATTTAGAAATGAAAAGATCAGTTATCAAGAAGAGCCGTAGAAAGATTTAGTGTGTTTTCTTTCCAGCTTTTACTGCAGTCTTTCAAGAACTCTCTTCTCTCCAAGAAAAATAGAGACAGAAATTCTAGTATTTGTCTTTGTGGATATATGTCTGTGCAAATGATGTGTGATATTTTATGAGAGGGTGTAAACGTGTGTACAGGAGTGAAGTGTGAATTGCTGATATATATATATATATATATGTAATTGATGCCAGTTCAGTATCTGTGTGTTTCTGAGTGTGTGAATGCAGACTCAGCAAGAATGCCCATTTATAAATATATGGGTATTGAAAAGGTTAACAACACACAGCTGAGACAGGTGTTAAGGAATCCACAGATATTTCATTAAGTGGCTTGATTTTCTTCTGATAAAGATGTGATGGGGAGGGGTTGGGAGACAGAGGAAAGCAGTGGGGTTGTCCTTTGTCTCTCCATTAATAAATTTCAGCCGTAGGAGTGAAGACTATTGGCTATAGAGCATAGCAGAGATGAACAAAATTTCTTTTGTGGGGCAATAATTATTCTGAGCTTAGATAAGAGAGGAAACCTTTCTGTAAGGAAAGTTTTTTTCCTGTCCCCACTGCTGATCTGTGTGCGTGGACTAATTGCTGAAGGCTCAAGAAGCTGAGGGGAGAAAGTGTTCTGTTAAGGGTAATTGGAGAGAAGCAGGGATAGGGGGACTTGCATGATGGGGAAACCATAAGTGTTACTAAACAGAAGCTCTGCTCAGGTTTCCTCCAGGAGATCCAAGGGATGAGGCAGGACAGTTTTCTGCAAAAATAACCAGCAGGAGGCTGGCCCAGCAGAACATTCCTGTCTCTGCTATTTTGACCAAAAAAAAAAAAAAAACAAAACCCCCAAAACCCCAAAAAACAAAACTAGTGTATCTAAGTCCCCACATGAACACACATCTGCCTCTACAGAGGGCCACTCCCACCCCCTTTCACCCATACAAACCCAGACTGATGAGCCACCATATGACCAGCTGGAAGATACTGGTGCCCTGGGTTGAGAGAGTGCTTTTGGGTGCCTGCAAAGCCTGCAGGCATGGGCTGAAGAGGCAGGGGAGGGGAGGTGGCTGCATCTGGGTGGGAGGGATGGACCCATTGTCCTCCAGGCCTGGGGAGGATGCAGGGTCATTAGGTAGAGGATGATATGGTAGCTGTTAGCCTGAGGAAACAGCTCACTTTTGTTTTCCACCCAGTAGGGAATGGACCTGAATCCATTAGATTCTGGGCAGTTCAACCCGGCACAGTTTGAGCCCTTGGAAGCTAGACGCCAAAAAGGCTACTTGTGTGGATTTGTGTCCCCCCACCATTGTGCAGCATGCCTATCATTTATGCATTTAAAGCCTGTCAGGCTGGAAATCTGCGGCAGAGGGCTGGAAGACAGTAATGCCAACAGACACAGGGGATGGTAAAGTGCACCTGTAGAGTTAAAAATGCATGACCCATTCCCTCTTTGAGGGAACACAGGAGAAAGACCCCCGTCCTGGAGGGTATCTGCTGAGCTGTAATACATAATTCACGGGCCCATGCTGGTCCATGCAGATGGCGATATTAAATCGTGATTGATGCTCAGAGACATGCATAGCTGACGAAGGGCTCCAAGAGGCTTCAGAATATTTCTATGTCTCCCGTGCCTCTCTGCTCTAACTGTGGTATTAAGCAACCTAACCCCTTATTTCCCAACCCCTGCTAGGGGTTGCAGGAGTTCCCTCCTGGGTAGATGAGATTCTTCAAATGTCATCACCTACCTTTTCTGCCTTTGAAGGCTGCCCCTTCCCTCCTGGCCCACAGAGGCTGTTTACCTCCGACCGGGCTCTGAAGCGAGGGGGAGCCAGCTCTTCCTCTGCCTCTGCCTCTGCCTTTCTTTTCTAGTATCTTGACAAAGCAGCAGCACACTCTGGTGGTGACCGAGCCAGAGGGACAGTGGGCAGAGATCTCAGAGAAAGCTGAGGGGTCTGGTCGCTCAACACAAAGCACCTTTGTGCAAATCCTGAGATTGGAGCCAGCAGATTCTTCAGTTTAGATTCTTCCATTGGGTGTATAATGAAATAATAAATCAAATTTGTGGTGTGTGTATGGAATTAAATGTTTTGGGGGAGTTTCTTTTAAAATAAGCTGAAATCACTCTCTAGGGCCTGTTCTGGGCCAAAGCTGAAAGTGCTTTTTTGCACCTCTCGTAATTGTTGCCAGGTTTGCTCATGGGTTAGTACCACAAAACCACGATTGTCAGTTCCCAGAGCCCGGCTGATGGCTGACTGTGCTGGGCTAAGAGACCCCAACTAAAATGAAGGATTTATGAGACAAAGATAGAGATGGGAGGCTTGAAGGAAGAGAGGAAGATGGGCCAAGAAAGGGAGATAGGAAAAGGCAGGGAGGAGTCTTAAGTGTACACTCTTGTTTTTATAATCTCCAGCCCTGTGATCGAAATATTTATGACCATTTTCTGGTGTGTGTGCATGTGTGTGTGTATGTGCCTGTGTGTGTGTCTGTGTGCATGTCTGTGTCTATGTGTGTGTCTCTGTGTGTGATTGTGTGTATGTCTGTGTCTCTGTGTGTGTCTGTGTCTCTGTGTGTGCCTATATGTGTGTCTACATGTATGTGTGTGTTCCTTTGTATGTCTATGTGTGGGGGGGTGTTTTGTGTGTCTGTCTGTCTGTCTGGGGCGGGGGTGGTTAGGAGGAGAGAAGACTTGAAATAATCTTTTCCACCGAGTGAGTAAATAGATTAGTCTCCTGGACTGCTGTAAAAGGTCCTTAAAATAGTTGAGAGCAGCCACTGGGAGGGAGGACTTGTGGAAGGCTATCGGAGCATATCTGAAGTTCTTTGGTGTTGTTCTTTCTTCCAGATCCACCCTGCGGAGGTCGGCTGAATTCCAAAGATGCTGGCTATATCACTTCCCCAGGTTACCCCCAGGACTATCCCTCCCACCAGAACTGTGAGTGGATTGTCTACGCCCCTGAACCCAACCAGAAGATTGTCCTCAACTTCAACCCTCACTTTGAAATCGAGAAACATGATTGCAAGTAAGCACAACCCTGCTGACTGGGGACACAGACCACTGTTCTTATATTTGGTCCTTTCTCTCACTGAGGGGCAATTGTGGGTTCTAGCCACAGAGGGCCACTTAACATCGCATTACCTTTTAACAGAAGTAGGATGCATTTGATTCCATGGTATGGTGAAGAACCTTTTGGAATGAGGTACAGAAAACAGTGGTGCCCTGATTGTAGAAATTGGCAGTAGAAAGAGTTTCCATGGGGACAAGAAGCAGGCTTGGCCAAGTTCTTGTATTTGTGATGTACCTCTCTTTGGGGGGGAGGGGACTCCTCCCATTTTAATTGCTGCCTTATCAAGGAGCCCTACCAGCTTCTCTAATAAAATGATAGCTGGATCCTCAAATATATCAAATATATATGAGTTTATTGCTTTCCAAAGGCGCTGCTCATTGCTCAAAAAGAGTAAGAAATACAGAGTCAATAAAGGAAGGGTTAAGACTCCAATTGATTCGTGATGTCTATGCTGCACAGGTTACTATCAAAGATGTGGGTATAGATTCCTTCTACAAACAGTTCTAATTGCTTTACAAATAAGCCACTCAATTCTTGCTGGGGCCCTGGGAAGCCAGTGCCATCATGATCTTCATTTTGACATGAGAACACTAAAACAGGGAGGTTACGTCAGTTACTCAAGGTGCGTCAGCTGATCTTATGACAGGACATCAGATAGCCACCTTGGAGATGCAGACAGTCAGAAAAGTGCTCTTGAGATGTTGTGCCCATTCAGGGAGACAGGCAGGATAGTCATGCCAATAATAGAGATGGCTGAGTAGTCTCTAGGCCTCTGTCCTTTGTGTTTTCCTCATGAATCAAAAGTGAAAGTGTTCAGTTCAGAAAAGAATATGGCAATGACCATTTTAGTCTTTTTATCATAAGTTCTGGTGAGTGTTCAGGGTCCACATGACACCTAAGAACTCTGAGCATTCCTGTGACCAAGGCATTGGGAGTCCTGGGTAATTAGTAATGGGATAGCTGGGGGACAGATATAAGAGAGCAGGCGACACTCCTGGCCTCTAATGTAGAACAGGCTTCAGTCCAGACCAGCACTTCCTCTGATGGACTCAAGGCTCCTCTGTAACTAGCACTAGACTCGGAGGCCTGATGAACTGTTGTCATTATTATACTCCCAGGACCACTTTGCACCTACAGAATGGTTTCCTTCTAACAGGAGGTAGTCTGTGCTGAAAACCAAAGAGTTTCCCGGATGGATACTGCATGTGACTAAGAGTCACAGGATGAGGTTTCTACTTCCAGGGCCAGTCTTGGCTGCCTGGATGACATAGCACATCAGTTCCTCCTTTGTCTGTCTTACACAGACACACTAGACACATTGACTCAGCATCCCAGGATTCCACTTCCCCAGCAGCGAAGTTTACAAAGAGTTTGGGTTAGAACAGCTCTGTAAAAGGATTTTTGGGTCCCGGAGTCTTTGGCTAAGCTGCAGAAGGTTGGGGTCAACTGAAGCATAATGCACAGGGTGCTGGAGAGTGAGCTCAGAGGAACTTGACTAAGCACCTCTCTGGATGGAGGGCCAAATTCGGTTCTGCTGATCCTAGCGAAATCTCGGGGGGAAATTGCTAAGAGGCCATTTTATGGATATTCACGATGACAGGGGGAAAGGGCCCAGTTTTTTAGAAGGTTGGATTCAGATGGCAATGAGTAAAGCTCCAAATATATTGTGTAGAGTAAAAGGCTAGGGAAGCACACTCCAGCCCCAGGATCCAGCCCCCGGGGTTGGGAGAACTTAGTGTGGAGCAGAAAGACACAAACCTCACCCCTGCTGTAGTCTGAAGGGAGGAAACAGGCAAGTTACAGGCTCTCTTCCCAGCCCTTCAGCCCTTCCTAACTAGCTTCCTGTTTTCCTCTATACTCCCATCCTTGCTGCTGGCTCCAACCGAAGAGGTCACAGGGGTCAGAAAGACAATCTTTCTGGAATCTATTTCCCCCAGTGTCAAATTGTCGGCAAGACTCTTCTAGGCCCACTTACCCTCTCTCAGTTCTCACTGTCCCCATCCTCCATCTCTCTCATTAATTTTTATACTTAGAAGGCAGTATCTGGTCCCTCAGCCTCTCTCCCATGATCATTTGCAAGCAGAATAAGAGGCTTGCCTCACTTTACTTTCTTGAGAAAGGAACACTTCATCTCATTAAATCCTGGAAGGTTTTTTCTTGTTCTTATACTTTTTTTGACTCCCCTTCCACGATGCACTTTTTTTTTTCTCTTGATAACACTCACAATCAAAGGAAATCAGTCTCCTCTTTCTTTGCATTTTGGGGGCACACTAAATTGTTTACCTTGAAGCTTATGAAGCAGACACCTCTCCCAACAGAAAATTGCCTTCGCCACCCATCTCTGAGTGAGCAACAGCTTAGAGAAGAAAGAGGAAACGAAGGGCACAGCCTACGTGCCTGGCCACATTGTCTCTTCTGTTTTGTGTACATGAAATGAACTATAAAAATGGCCCTCTCACATAAGACCAGGGCCATATATTATAGGGAGGATCATTCTGGTCTGTAGTACCTAAGCCTTTTCCTCTCTGTACCTTAAAGTCTACACCCTGAAGGTCAAGGCTGTTACTGAGGAAACCCCAGACAGATCTGTTCCTGACCACTGCTTGTTCATTTTGTTCCACTGAAGCTTGCTGTCTGCTTGGAAAATTTCACTCACAAGAGTCAGCCGTTCTGTGCCAGTGCAATCCAAAGCCACCCTTTCTCTTAGTTCTGCCTGCCTTCTCCCTTAGGCTATCCACAGGGAGCCAAACCCTAAACACCAGCATGCTGTCCTGGGGACTGGGTAGCAGCTACAGGCAGAAGCAAAGGCCGCTGTGGCATTGGCAGCTACCTGTGTCAAGGGACAAAAAGACAGGACTCAGGGCTGTCTGGGCAAACAGAAAGAAGTACTTCATCCCCCTGGGAGCTGAAGATACCAGGAGGCTGCTGCCTTGGCAGACAGAGAGAGGCCATTCGCTTGAGTCATCAGCCAGAGGGTTCAGTGTTATGGTTTTAGAAACATACACACAAGGCTGAGTATTTTTCCATTTCTAAACTTTGAACTGTATGCAGTCTTAAAAACATTCATCAACATGCCATCCTATACAACTTATTGACCAGTCTTCAAGCAGGCGTGCTGTGTATATGACACACACACACACACCATTGTAGAGGCCCAATCAAAGGCAACTAAAATCAAGATCTAGTTCCTTGGAAGTACAAGTACTTAGCAGTATCTTGAAAATATTTTGGGGAAGTTCGAAAACTAGGAAGCTACATTTCTTAGGTCACCTCACAAGTAAGTCTACATAGATTCATGACAAAATCACCTCATTCGTAGTATCAAAGTGAAGCCCATTGAACAGTTTCTCTGGGTGGAGTACCTCTGAGGAAGTCCTGAACATTTTAAATCACGTGCTGCACTTCTTAAACAAAGCCAAAAATCGTTGAGGGGAGTCAGTCTTCGTTCTTGATGATTTAGGATGGTAATTCTAAACTTCATTTCTTCATACACAATGAAGACCAATTGATGCCCTCTCTGGATCTGATTTGCACTTGAGGATGTGGGCACTTGTATGCAGTACCGACAGAGCTCAGGAGAGGGCGCCAGCTCCCCTGAAGCCGGAGTTAACAAACAGTTTTGAGTTTTTGGATGATTGTGCTGTGAACCAAGCTAGCGACCTCTCCAAGAGCTTAACCACCAAGCCACCTCCTCAGTCTACATTTGAATTTCTGTTGCACATTTAAACGTCTTAAGACCTCCACTTACCCCTTCCCCCAAACCATGGTAACAAGCACTTTGCTGTGCCTTGTTTGTGTTATCACAGTAATTTAGCAAGCACGTTAAACGTCTGTGTCATGGGAAACTCGAGAGACTATTTTCTCCTCGTACTTCTTGCTATGAGTTCTTGTTATGAATATCCTTCATCATACAGCCTCTCTCTTCTGACTTGCTTTTATTTTTTTTTATGTATCAATTTTGCTGTAGAAGATCCTTGCTGTCTATGCCAAAGATTAGGTTCTGGGGTTCAAGACTTCAGCTCTAAGTCAGTGCAAATTCAAGCCAATTTGCTTCATTCAGCCAAGGCCACGACAGAGTCAGGACTGTCTGAAGACTGACCCCCACCCCGCCTGAGCATAGCACAGCACCCATAGTTCTCAGCGTTGGTTTAGACTCCTGTTTCTCCCGACCTTCTCAGTCTCCTGCATGCTAGACATGGGTGTTTGGCCTCTTGCCAAGTGTCTTAGCTAAACAAAATGTGCTTGTGTTTACTTACCACAGAGGGGCCCTCTGAGTCTTAGAAGATGTGTCTGTCCCTTAAAACAAGTAGCAGATTCCTGGGTTGATAAATTGACCGTGTTGCTAAACAGGGGAAAGAAACCAGATCTCAGTAATCTGGTCCCTCCATGTCAAGCAATCTCTACTTCCCTGTGCCCGATAAACAGCCAACATTCCCAACAACTAAACATGGCTTTCCATCTGTATGCAGTCTCCCTGAGCGGCCATGGCATGCGCTGTCCCTCTTTTCCTACCCATGTTTCCCAGGGCTCAGTCTCCTTGTCCTTTACTTGTTCCTGCTCCAAGCCACCTTGATCACACTGTCAATTCAAGTGCAGTGGGGTAGTCTCACGTTCTGAGGGGTAAGCTCTCTAATGGCACAGACCACACACCCTGTCTATGAACTGTAGCACCTAGCCCAGGAGAGAACTCAGTGGGTGTGTGCACAAACTTCTTTCATTGATGTCTTGCCACTGATTTCGCCAAGGCATACGTGATATGAACTGTGATATGAACTGTGTTGGAAGGCGGGCAGGTCTGGTTTTTCCATTCTTCCATCCAAGATTACAAAGGAACGACAAAGATGATAGAATCTGGGCTATACATGTCACTAACCACTCAGACTTGGGTCTGTCACCAGCCAAATGGCCACAGGCTGTTCACTCTGTGCCCAGGAAGTGCTTAAAAGCACCTACTT